CTGCTCGTACCCCATCGATTCGCGGGTTCACAACCCGCGTAACAGACGATGTGGCTTCGCGCGAGGGGGTCGAATTCTCTTTATCTTTGATGTGCTCTATTGTATCCAAGCACACTCTTGAGGCACGGTTGGAAAGCGCCCGGTCCGAGGTTAAGAGCATCATTCTCGAGGGTACGGACGATACTTCTTTTGATTTACCTGTCAAGGCATGGTGGCTGAGTTCACTCCTAACTTTAGAGTCAGCTGTCAACATAAAAGGGGGGGGGGGGGGGGTTAAGCCATGTAAGGAGTGATGACAGAGAGAGTGGGAGAGAACCCGTAAATGTGGTGTGATAATCTGTTGTTTTGAATGACCGAAGGACACCGCTTTTCTCTCTCTGTATGCCCTCCCCTCCCCTGGCCTCCACCAATATTGGTATGAAAGTCGGAACCGATGAACGATCGATAACCCATAATCGCCACCATTTCTCTGACAGGTCGAGTTTTCGGTCATGGAGTGTCCGTCGTCTCCATGGCCATCTGTTAATGTTCAAAATTCAGGGCATTAAGGGGAACGGAAACCTAGAGTTTCAGTGCATAATTTGCTTGCCAGAAGAAAAAAAAAACACGCACACACACATTGTCAACAGCAAGCGCAACAAACCTTTATCTACGGAAACACATCTAGGTAAGCTGGTACACCGTTGGGCTATACATTGTAAAGTTAAAACCGAATTTTTCTTTTCTTGTGAATAACAGGTGATACACCAGAGTCAAACGGGAGCTTTCGTAGATTGCTTCTTTAGCTCCGAATATATTAGCGGAAGTAGACGCTGCCACTGAGCGTGCACACCGCCAGCTCTGTCTGCACAATTCCAGGGATCATTTCCGGGGACTGTAAGCTAGCGGGATGGCGGGTGTGGTTGCAGATTTCGGTGCCTTGTCAGCTTGGAGGAGCTTGGGGGCATCTACACTCTTTCGCTTAAATACAATATTTTATTTTTACAAGGACTACCATAATACGGGCGTATGAGAAAGGGAAAGTAGTTTTGCCGAACATTTTTAAAAAAATATCAAAATTGGTTTTGTTGTTTTCTGGTTCATTGTAGGGAAAAAGTAACGTAAGAGTAATTTGTAACGTAACAAGCAAAGTAATCCGTTACTTCTCAGTGGAAGTTATTTGTAACGATAATCCATTACATTTGAGGCTCGGTAATTTGTAGTTGTAATCCATTACATTTTTCGAGTAACGAGCCAAAGTCTGGATAACGGTAAATGTATTAAATTAAGTTACTTGATTACACGAGAAGAAAATTAATTGACTGTTACTTTAAGAAGTACCCGTAACTTTTCCTATTACTTCCGTGTTTCAAAACGACATATTTCTTGCGGGATTAAAAACTAGTACTTCGTACCGTCCAATATTGAATAAAAATAACCTAACTATAAGCTGCTTATCTTCTTAATTCGCCAATGAACCTTTCTGGAAGGTACCGCGCCCTCAAGCGGCGCGCGTGAGGAATTCTGGGAACAGTGAGGGTCGCAGTTCCGTCGTCTGCTGCCGCTACCGCCGTACCGCCTGCGAGCAAAAACGTGGCCTAAGTTCGCGTTGGGTCCCTGTGTACGGCAGACGGCAATCTTTACAGCGTCCTGTGCTGCGCTGCTTTGCCAATTTGACGTGAGAAACCCTCAATCCCAGCACGTCGGTCTACTGCCCTTTTTGTGAATTGGCCATCTTTCTGGACAAAAAACCGTTCCTCTTCTTTTTTTTTTTTTTGTGGTCCATCGCACGTGGGTTACGCGGCAAAAGAGCGAGTTATCACTCACGCACCCAACGTGGTTTGTTTTTTAGTTATTCTGCTAGAAGAATCAGTTGAGCTGGTTGGTACATTTTATTTTCCTTCGCCAGTAAACAAATAAACGCAACTCGTTCCAACAACGTTCGAAGACCGTTAGCTAGCCCGGATGCAAGAATGCATTAAGAATGGTGTTGCAATTCGGGCGGCAGCATGCGCCACCTAGCACGAAAGGCTTCACTTGTCTAGTCTTGGCTTGGCTAAAGGGCGCGACACACTCACAGTTCCCATAATGCCCCAATGCGCTCACTGGTGACGCTGGCGTCTCCAGAAAGGTAAATGCTGGTAAGCCATCCTTCTCTCAAACACTTGGTTCAAGGATTTCTCGGTTGAAGAAACAAGAACGCCATTAGAAAGGCAAGGGGATAATAGCAATTTATACGAGTAATTTCAGTACTTTTAAAAGTAATCATATTACGCTTGTGATTAATTTATAATAAATGTATTCAAATTATTAAAAAACTACTTCAAAAAGTAATCGATTACAGGTAGTTTCATTACTTGTAATGAGTACCATTCAAGTTTGCTTCTGGAGCAGCAAAGGGGAGAAGGAAACTCCACGAGCTAGGTTCTTTGTACACTGCTAAAATCTGCGGATTTTACAGCGAAGCTGTCAATGACTATATGTGATTTTTCGCGTGCGTGACGAAAAACTCTAGCTCGCATCGCCGCACGTGCCGCAGGCGCACGCCTCCGCCGTATAAAAGGTTCGAAGTAAATAACCACAATAAAGCGCTGACAAACGCGCGTGCATGATGCCCCTCGTTTTAGGCCTTTTGCTTTAGAACAGTCACTGCTGCAGGCGCCGGCATGTGCGGCGCGTGGACCACCATTCCCAGAATCCTCTCTAATGCTCGAGTATTTTAGCAAAATAGGCCCATTCAGTACATTAGTTATCAATAGGAACCGTTTTCAATATCTGTACTCTATCAGGTAGAAAATAACTGTTTCTCAAAGATTTGCGGCTGTGCGACCCGCGACGGCCATGTCCGCGCTCGCACAGCCCCCTCTTTGTCGTCGTTTCAAGCGCTTGCGTGCCTAGTTTCCTTTCCTTCCGCTCTCTCGGGGTGGCCGTCCCGTCGCACGTGTCTACTTTCCACCGAGCGGCGGTCTCGTCGCACGTGTCCAGCTTCCTCCGGCTCCCCGGGGGTGGGTCTGTGTCGTGTGCTAAAACAGCTTAGCTGGTCATCCACCTACACCGAGTGGAATGGCTCATGATTTTTCGGCTTTAAAGAATAGAATGCTTTAGAAGATCGTTCAGTCACTCCCGTTGCGCTATACGCTAGCCGCTACAACCTCCGCTATATGTACTGTAGCTGAACCACCATTTTAAGTTTTAGTAGAACATGTGCAACCGACTACGTGTTACAACGTTACGAGAGCTAACACAACGCCGCCAGCGGCTATTTCAGACACTAGGCCTCGCGTAAAATAGATTTGTAAAGTAATTCTGCGGAATTTTTTTTTATTAACGTGGGTATCTTAATACAGTAGTTTGTTATTTATTGAATAACGTGCTAATCGTTGCTTCTTTTGTAAGTAGACGACTATTATGTTTGTAATTGAATAAAACTAACGGCCAAGTTGTCCAAGCCATTCCGATATAAGCCAAAAGTCCCAAAGCCACCGAAAAAAATCTTCAAACATAAATGATAACCGTAGTTCTTCTGTTGTGTCATTGTTCACCGAAAATGAAACGCCACGGAAATCCCTCACATCCGCCTGCTTGCTCGCTTCCTTGGTCGGTTTTGTCCTCACGACAAAGCGGCCGGGCAGGAGGCCGCACCCTTCGCTCACAGCACCACAAACTGCTTAGCTTTTTTTTTTCTTTCTTTTTTGTTGTGGCCGTATTTAGCATGTCCGCCGTAAATTGCTACCTGTTGCATTCGTGGAACGGCTTTGTCGCAGCAACTTGTTACAGCAGCAAGATAGAATCCGCCCCTCAGAACCACCATCGCGAAGCGCACAGACCGGAGAGGCGCGGCGTGACGGCCATCTTGAATTGCGTCCCTCGCTGACTCTCGCTTATCTCGGCAAAGCTCGTTCTCGCGAGACCCAGCTTGCACGCCGCGCTACGCGCCTCGCTATTTTGGTCCGATAGCGCTCCTCTGCTAGCCTTCGCAGCTCCGCAATATTTCCGCTATCAGCGCGCATACGCAGTAGCGTCGTTGCTCTAGCGTGTAGCTTAGCGGGAGAGCCAAAACGATCTAGTAAAACTCTATTTATGTGTAGTGGTGTTTTTACGACCGAAACCGGGGGTTGTTCTAGCCCCTTCGGACTATAGTGGCGTCCACCGTAAAATAGCGTAATCTTCAAAATTGTACTTGGCCTGTCTTGTGACATAGCCCACAGTTTTGATACACAAATGTTTTTAATATCCGCACCTGTAAATAATCCTCATGGCGCAAAATAGGAATTCTTAAACGTGTGTAATCCTCAAAGCGGCATCTTAATAATCTCTTCTTTTTTTTTTTTTTGAGCAGGAATAAATGCAGAAATTTTAAATTCCTTTTTTTTATCTTTGAGATGAAAATTGTTTTATGTTTGACGAAATGCCATTACAAATAGCTTTAACCTATATACATTCAGAAATATTTAGCTTACAAATCTTGTTTTACCTTTGCGTGATTTTAATTAATTAAACTAATTTAGGCTTTTTTTTAAGCGTGGTGTAGTCGTAGTAATATTTTTATAGAAGGGATACTTTAAAAAAATCGTAGTATCTTTAGTATGCCCTAGATCGGCTCAAATTTTTCACCTGCCTGCTACATGTGACGTAGACATCAGAACTGTACTCAGAAAGTGCGCTAACAGAATTTTCACGCCAGATAAATAACCTACTTTTTCCAGATCCAAGCGTGTGATGTAGTAAGAGATATATACAGCCGCCATATTGCGTGTATATCTCCACAGTTTATAAACCAAACTTTCTACCATCTGAACTGTTCTGGTGGAGACAAAGCATGTCCAAAAAAATTAACTTTATATCTTGTACGTGGGCGATATCATGGCCAACAAATATAATTTCTAACGTACTTACAGGTACAGCTTTTTGAGGCATGTTTTTCGCTGTTTCGTTCCTGCTGGAGAGTCAATGCTTCAATTCAAGTCTTTAGGGCCACTTAGACATTCCCCAGTTAAAAACATTATAAAGTAAGCACGACAATTTGCTTGTTTGTTTTTATTTTTGACAGGAACATCAAGATCTTGAGGAGACATCCTAAAATCCTGGTGCTGAAGCAAAAACATTCGTAAGTAATAAAAAAAGAAAACACCACTGAAACATTTCAGTGAACATCTTGTTCCTATTAGGATTACAGATTCATGTATTCCCGTGGGTGAGCGTACATGTTAAACAAAACGTCCGAAGGCATCATGAAGAGCCCACGACGAGGTTGAAATAATATTAGTAACAAACGATCAACCAATAAAAAATTAAAACAAAAATAGAAAATAAAACACACGCGATCCGCTCTAACGTCTCCAAGTTCCAGAAAGTTATAAATTTACATTTTAGAAACGTTTCAGCTATGTTTCCAACACAACACTAACAAAATGTTTGCATTCGACTTCGATAAGATCTATGAATACGTTTTGAGATATATCAGATCTCGGCTGATAAAAAAAAATAAAACATTCGGTTTCTATTACTATTGATTCTTTATATTGGTTAGGGAGTTCACTATTTCTGTTCTATCTGCAATAGCTTGTGTTTAGTTTTGCTGTCTTAGCATAGATAAGAATGTATCGAAAAGTTCAATGCAACATTTCCTACTCAGCGCGAAAACGCAATATTCACTTATTTAGTTCAATGGTGTTTGAGAAGATTAATTTACTTACTTATTGCCGATGGTCTGATGTATGCCACACCGACAATGATCATATTGGGTTTGTCTTTTTTATTTCTATTTTCGATCGGAGAAATGCAAAATAGATAATCTCTAAATCACTAAATCTGTACAGTATGTCTAAAACGGGCAACGTGCAGTCGCTCCCAAAAACAGGTGTCTTTAATGACCGCTTTACGCCGCTATATCAGCACAGACCATAACAACAGGAATCTCTTTTAGAATCACTAAAAATACTTAGATCAAGCCGCCCTTCGGAGCAACGGCAAAAGAATGAAAGCACGAAAGAGTGGATCAGCGTTTGTTAGGCGACCACAGCTTCAGTTCGCCGCCCTCGGCGTTCTCGCAGTCGTGGCCAAAGGAGGCGCCGTAGAAACGTCCTCCTCTTCAGACTGGTCATCCATGGAGCACTTGACATTCCCTTCAAAGTCGCAGATGCCTGTCTTGGGATTGAACAACAGGCCCTGCTTGCAGTAATGCGAGAACTTCTGTCCCCGATGACAGCGGTAGAAGACGTGGCAGTGGCGGGCGAGGTCTGGGTAAAAACCGTCCTCCATCTGATTGCAGTCGAAGTGGAATCTGGACGGAATGCCATGCGCGTGGCGTTCCAGCGACGTCACCGTCCTGTTGTCGGTGCAGGTGACCGAGTCTTCGGCCTCGCAGGTCCAGGTGGCCACGTTGAAGAGCGTGCCGCTCGGGCACTGGTAAGTGACGGCCTTGCCGTCGATGCAGCTCACGTACTTGCGGCATCCGCTCGCGTGATCGGCGTAGTAACCCCGCGACTTGGAGTAACACAGGTCGCGAGGGTGCGCTGACTTGGTGTGGGACGACCGCGGTCGGCAGTCGACCTTATTCGGCATGTCGCATGTCTTGCTTGCCGGATTGAAGAGAAGAACACTCGGGCAGCTGTAAGTCTTGCGGATCGTCCGAAAGCAGATGTGGAACTTTTGGCAGCCAGAGCTGAAGTCCGCGAAGAAGCCTGTCTTTCCAGATGGACACGTGAACCCGGTATCATCCTTGTGTGGGCGAAGACCCTGTGCCGGTGACGGTGTCGTTGTAAACGCCGTCAAGAATGGGGTCGTAAGTTCGTTCGAACTAGAGGTCGTTTCGGGCAGCGACGTAATGGTCGTGATGTCATGCGAAGGGCGTTTTAGTGCGTGCCGTTCTTCGCAGATGACATCGTCAAATTTCGAACAAACCATAAGAAGCTCGTTGAAGAGAGTTCCGACCGGGCAGTACACTGTGGTTTTTGCACCGTTTTCGCAAACGAAATACCGTTTGCAGTCCTGGACGTAGTCGGGGTACATCCCGTCCGGCCGGCTGTCACACGAGAAGCTGTCTTCCGATCCCGGCCAAACATGCTTCTCGGTGGCCCTCGTACAGTTGTGTTGGCTGGAGAGATCGCAGAGTTTGTTTGAAGTATTGAACACGGAACCGTTAGGGCAGCGGTGAGAAGACAGTCCACTAGGAGCGCAGATGTGGAAATCCTGGCAATCCGAACCCGCGTATACTCCAGCGGGGCTTTCGCCGCAATCGACAGGAACGTCACTTTCGTTTTTGGGCAGCGTTTGTATATTCTTGCCGATGGAGGCTACCATTGAAAACCCGATCTTGGAGGATTGGCAGCGAACCTTGGTAGCGTCCCGACAATAAAGTCTCTCCGTGTCGAAAGCCTGCCCCGTGGGACAGGAATAAGACACGCCCTCCGAACCAAGGCATTCGTGCCAGGTTTTGCAACCGCTGTTGTAGTCCACGAACACTCCGCCGTTTCCTTCCTGGCACCTGAACGTACCGACCACTCGCGGCGGCCTGCAAGCGTTCTCCGTCTCTTCCGTGGCGTTCCGACATCGAGCCGACTCGGCGTCATACTTGAGGCCTTGCTCGCATGTCTCTAGGCGCTCCTGACCGTCGACGCATACCTTGTAGCCCTGACACAACGTCAAGTAGTCGGGAAACACGCCGATTCTTCCGTCGCACTCGTACTGCGAGTACGCCACCGAGTCTGGTGCCTCAGCGACCTCCCGCGTGAGGCAAGTAACCAGTTTCTCCGGCAGGCACGTCGCAGTGGCGCCGTCAAACAACGACCCGCCCGGACAGACCGACGTAATGACCCTGTTGCCCCCGAGACAGACGTAGAAGGCCATGCATCCCGACTTGACATCCGGGTACATTCCGTCCGAGCGGCCTTGGCAGTCCGGATCGGCAGCGGCGGCGCAGGTCACCAGCGAACTCGGCTGGCAAGTGCCCGTTAGAGCGTTTAGCGCTTTTCCCTGTGGGCAGGATCCCAGTTCGACCATGACCCCGTCGCGGCAGACGACGAAGTCGTGGCAGTTTGTCTCGAGGACGGGAAAGACCCCGTTCGACCTGGACGAACACTCAGAGACTTCCTTGGGACGCTCACAAGTGGCTTTCCACGGATAGTCGCAGGCCAGATGCCTCCGGTTGAAGACGAGATCTGACGGGCAGGCGAACGACTTGGCCTTAGAGTTGATGCAGAGGACGAAATTGCGGCATCCGCTTCGGAAGTCAGGGTAGTAGCCGTCTGGTAGACCCGCGCAGGAGAAGCCGGTCCAGCCCTGGCAGCGAACTGTTCGAGAGTTCTGGCACTTGCGGGACTTCTCCTGGAAAAGCTGTCCTTGGGGGCATACCAGCTCGGACTTGACGCCGTCGCGGCAGCTGTAGTAGCGGCGGCAGCCGTCGGCAGTGTCCGGGAAGACGCCGTCCTGTCCCTCTACGCAGGACAAGTTCTGGCAGGACACCTCCTGGGCGGGACGGCACCGGCTTGTCCTCCAGTCAAAGAGAAGTGAACCCGGGCAGTTGAAGACAGTGCGACGGCCTCCTGCGATTGGGATTGGACGCTATTTATGGTTAATATCTCTTCTCTGACTAGAACCCCAGTTATGACGGGATTGAGAGAAGGGTAGAAACGACATACTGCAATACAAACAAATATTCGGCCACTCAAACAAAACTAACAAACACCGTACTACGAAATGCGTGCGACGTCATTCTTAAACACCGATTGAGTACAAGACGGTCTAAATATTCGGAGGTTTATGACATTGTGAGTGTTCGGTAAAAAAACAATACATATATTTAAAAAGAAGTGAGTACTGAAAATACGGATCTTTCCAAACGCTACATAGGCGACCTCGTAAGATGTTGCGAACTAATCCACATACTGCGCAGAATATTTGAGCAGCCCGTCGAATAGCAATAAATGTGAAAGTACATCTTCAGTAAGCTCAGCAGCTACAGGCTGCTTAGTGATGGGAGAAAAAATAACGTACACATTGCGGTGAGAATCAGGTAAATGTGAATAAGTAATCGCTGCCAAAGACAATTAAGATATGTAGAATTCCTAAAAAAGTAGCACTCTTACTCGTTATATACGAATGAAGTGCAATTAAGCAAGCCATTCTGTGGTTTTCCTAACGGAAAACCCCAGAAACTTTTACGCACATTTGACTAAAACAAATTTAGCTATCAAGGGACTTGGCCACAACGGGAACACGCTCACCAATGAACTGAGTATAGTAAGCGAGATTAATTGCTTTTTTTTCTACTGTTTATACCATGAATAATTTCATAATGCCACCATTTACTCATGACCACCGTAAAATTGGCGACTTAGTAGTGTCAATAAGTGGTATTTTTGATAGCCTCCTCCGACTGGACGTTAAAAAGTCATGCGGCCCGGACCGGATTCCTAACGCATTCCTTCACAGGTATGTGGAATGGAGTGCGAACTATCTTTATGAAATATACTTTTGCAGTTTAAAAACTGGCGAAGTTCCAAAAGACTGGAAAGTAGCGAAAGTTGTGCCAATTCATAGAAGTGGAGATAAAAAGTGCGTTTCGAATTACAGACCTGTTTCGCTGCCGAGCACATGGAGCAAAGTTCTTGAACATTTTTCTTTAAACACATTGTAACTTTTTTAGAATCCGCAGAATTTTTGGTAAAAGTCCAACATCGGTTCCTACGTAGTTACTCAACAGTTACTCAGTTTCTCTACACATTCCATGAATTTTCTCCGACAGTGGACAACGATGGCCAAGTGGATTCTATCTTCTTAGATTTTGCGAAAGCTTTCGACAGGGTGTCGCATCGAAAACTACTGTTCAAATTTAAGCAGATGCTCGAAAACGATTACCTTTTACGTTGGGTTGATTCCTATCTTACGAACCGTCGACAGTACGTTACTGTTAGGAAAGCGGAGTCCCTGGGTTTGCCAGTGATGTCACGAGTGGGAACGCGACAGAACAGCACACGACAAAACAGCACGGTCAAAACAGCACGCGTCAAAACAGCACAGAGTCAAAACAGCACGGCGACAAAACAGCACGCGTCAAAAGAGCACGCGACAAAACAACACAGCGTCAAAACGGCACAGCGTCAAAATGGCACAGCGACAGAAGAGCTAGCACGTGCCAAAACACTACTGCGACAAAACAGCACGGATGTAGCAACTTCGAGCGCGCTCTTCACCGCTCTCCGCGCGAATGCTTTCAAACCTCCTTGACCCTTGACCCTTTCATTTATTGTCGCTAGGTTGTAAAGGATGGCAGCCTACTACTACCACTACTTCACTACGCTGATCTCTGAAGAGATTGGTTAGTTAGAGGTGATATCTTCGCGGCGAGGTTAGCCGCATTGTCTTTTTTTTTTTTTTGTAGAGCCAGCGCAAGAGGAAAATTTATTGGGAAAGAGAAATCCATAAGTTCAAGTTATGAACCGTCTGGTTTGCGTAGGTCCGGTGAGGTTCCGTAGTACTCGTTGTTTCGTAATTACCGCCCAAGCGCAAAACGCTCCCCCCCCCCCCCCCCCCCAAAAAAAAAAAAAAAAAAAAAAAAAAGTGGGAGGTACGTTCATTGCAGATGCATTGGTAGAACCGGTAAGATAAGGGACTTCAATGTCGAACGTATTCAAGGTGGACCATGGGCACCGATTCTGCAGGCTTCATTCGCCGTGAACAAAATGTCCCCGAAACACGCGGCTGCAGCTTGCAGTCGAGAAGTTACTTTGAGTTAAATTCACAGATTATTGCAGCCGAACGCCTCGATCGAGTGAAAACCGGTGAAGCAGAAACATGCCACAGTCTCAATGTTGTTGCCCTACAGCATGGGCTGAGCGCACCGTTGCGCAAGCGCTTTTTTTTTTTTTAACTATCGACAGCACATTGCCGTCCAAAGGATTCATTTACTGTAGACGACATCACCAGTAATCTTGCGCGCCAAAATTAGCGGAACTGCTCGAGAAATAGCCAGAATACTAACCACCGGAGGCTTCGGTACTTGCCCGGGGAGGGGAGCCTTCATGTCCCTATCGAGTATAGTCCCCACACCGAACTTGCTCCCAACAGTACGGATTCGAGAAATTGATCGTCGACATGTTGGCTTTCGACGAATCGGCCTAGACCCTTCATTCCTTTACAGTACCTACTTTGAAACTAAACATTTGAGAGAAATCTCTCTGGTTGGGGAATACAATAATTAAAATATGGCAACCAACCAATTCCTAAACATGTAGGCGATGTCCACGCTTGGATTACTCATGCCCCGTCCAAAAGATCGCCCTCCGAAAGAAAAAACGCAGGGCGTGGTTTATAAGATCCCTTGTGCAGATTGTCCAGCCACTTACATCGGCGAGACAAAGAATTTTAATGAAAGCATACGCCAACACAAAAACGACGTTCGCAAGCTCGACCACGAGCGCAGTGCCGTCGCCGAGCACTGCGAAGTCAAAGACCACCAGATTGACTTCGACAACACCAGCATTATCGACGCAGAGACTAACAACCGACATAGGCTTTTCATCGAGTCCTGGCATATTCAAACGACGCCAGGCAACATAAATAGGCGCCTTGGTGCTTTACCAACAGTGTATGTGAACGGGCTTCGCCATATTCATGAAAGAAGAAGATCGAGAAATGTGCCACATCCCTGAGAGAAGAAAAAGAAGATCGAAAAACGTCGCTCCTCAACGGCCACAGTCGCCCCTGACGAAGAACCGAGTCGGTTCGAAACGTAGGGCTCCTACATGTTTAGGAATTGGTTGGTTGCCATTTTTTAATTATAGTACCTACTTTGAGACATGCATTTTTTAACTCCAGCGTTTTCGGCTAAAACCGAATAAAACCGGTAATGGTACGCCGAATTATTTTTTACAAATTCGGTTTGAACTGAAAAAGGTCATTATTTTCTAAGGCGTACGGAGGGGTGGGTGCGGAGGATGTGACTTATTAATGACCGTATGACCACTTCCTTTCGCAGCTTTCAGCTTGTCTCCGAGATCAGTTCAACCTTCAACAAAAGCTCCGGAGGTGCAGGGGTCTTCAGGACGAAATCTAGGTTTTTCACCTGAGTTTTGTGTGCCGAATTCTTTGTTCAAAAAGGAGAGTTTTTTGGTGAACTGAACAATGAAAATCAAGGGCATCCGTAAATGCCGCACATTTTATAACACCCCTAGCTTCCGTCTACTGGAGGAGGGCATAAACACGATTGTTTTATTGTCGTTTCTGTGGTCGGCGCGAATTTACCACATCTGCCAGTCGTGAAAATTGGGGAAAACGCACTGAGTATGATGCTTGCAAATATCTGCATTTTGATATTTGCCTCTCCGACCGAAGTGGTAGTGAAGCTCATGTTCGTCTTTTATACAAATACGAGCATACGACGATAATGTCAAATCACGACAGGGCGCAAGCGCGTCTTGCAGAACAGGCCACGTCGGCTGCCACAGACAGCAACAAGTAACAAAACCAATACATAGTTTATTTACTATACATTTTAAAGAAACGCTTTTAAATATTAAATTATCGCCAGTGTACTGATTTTTGTCAATAAACCGAAAAGAACTGAGAAGTTTATGAGTCTACAAATATTCACCGCAATAGACCGAAATCTTCTGTTTGGAATAAAAACAGAAAAAAGTCCGCCGAATTTCGAAATAATAGAAATCGAAGACCCCGAACCCTAGCTATATCATCAATATCCTGTTTTGACACTGAGCGTTTTGGTCGCGGTGCTGTTTTGACGCTGTTCTCTTTTGTCGCTGTGCCGTTTTGACGCTGTGCTGTTTTGTCGCGTGCTATTTTGACGCGTGCTGTTTTGACCGTGCTTTTTTTTCGCGTGATGTTTTGTCGTGTGCTGTTCTGTCATGATGCCGTCACGAGTACCCCAGCGCTCGGTGCTCGGTCCTTTTTTTGTGTGTGTTTGAAAATGATCTGCGTGTAGATAAGCCCAGGATTCAGTGCCGTTTTTTCGCCGACGACTGTGTTTTGTTTGCCAAAGTGTCATGCACTTTCGATCAGTTATGTTTGGGCAGTAGCCTGCCATCTGTGTTTCCTTGGTGTCAAGCATGGCAGATGGATTTGAACGTATAAAAATGCGTGCAAATGAGAGAAACACTAAAGAAGTCTCCGATTTTGTTTTGCTATTCTATGAACTCAGTACCGTTAGGAAATGTCCCTTCTTATAAATATTTGGGCATTACCATCACATCTACTTTAAGCTGGTCTGTTCACTTAGAGAACATTATCGAAAAAGCGTCTCGTAAACTGTGGAGTCTTCGAAGGACTATACGACATCGTACCCCGGAAACTAAGCTTGTTGCGTACACTACTTTGATTCGTCCATTATTGGAATATACTGAAATTTTATGGGATCCGTATCCACAGTCATTGATTGACAAACTTGAGGGAGTGCCAAAAAAGGCACTGCGATTTATATATAATGCATACGGCATGCATACGTCTGTGTCATCTCTTTATGTGTTATCCAGATTAACCCAGTTATCGACGCGCAGAAAAGTGAAGTGTCTGATTTTTTTTGTATAAATTAATACACGATAAGATTGGATTGAAATTCGAAGATTATCTTGTGTACAATCTCAGTCGAGTCCCACGGCATAAGCATGACAATCTTCGAGAGTTTCAATGTAGAAAGACATTTTTTTTAACTACTCTTTTTTTCCGAGAACTGTCCGAGACTGGAATGGCCTGCCTCACAACATTACAGGCAGTGCCACCTTCGACTCATTTGTCAGCACCTTAGATGGTGTTTTAAATCAATTCGACTAATCATTTGCCAAGTGTTACCTCTGTTTATTGGGAAGCGTTTGTACTATATGCCTTTTACTTTTTCTCAACTATGTTTTTTGAAGCCATGTATAACTAGAGCTATGCTGTTGATATATCACATATGTGCTCACATGCCGTGGCCCGCAAAAGTAGGGCGGCATTATTATTCAAATAAATAAAAAAAAATCTCTAATGTATAGCAACACATGCTTTACCATAACACGACACAAAACCTCACAGTTATGTCTTAAGTTAAGGTGACTGATGGCTGATGATCGAGAAATAGTTCGAAAATCAAAACAGGTTAATCAAGCAATAGTCATTCGCTTTGCTTGTACTCAAGCTTGAGAGAGAAAATATGACGAATACTCCGATTAATTTCACTAGCGCACCAATAAGCGAGGCATACTGTCCAGCTCCGTGGGCGCCTGTCGCAGTTTGTGTTTTTGACGCTTCTGGATTGTGACGTAATGCACAGCAGGACTTGGATTAATGAGGAGGCAAATGGTCTTGCACAACTTCCTCGCAATATGTAACTGCGTTCCGTTACAACTCACTTGATCCGTCCAAGGTAACTAAACAAGATTTCCAGGTTTTTACAAAACTCGTGTGAACAAAGAATTAATTCACAGGAATCACGTGGTCATACGACATGGTCAAGTGACCATGTAGCGAGAGCACTCATTCGTGAGACCTTTCGGCCGTGACGTTAAAACGTTTATCAGAATCATATCCCGAGAGTAAAAAAAAAAAAACGAATTATCGTTCAGAGAAAACTTCTAGAATACGAGGTTCAAACGCGTAGGAGCCTCCAAGCAGCTCTGGGTGTTGCATAGATAGGTATCAGGTTTAAAAGCGCAAACAGACAGGGACAATAGAAAATAACACAAACGACATGGACAAGGTGCTACTCTCAACTGATTTATTGCAAGACCGTTCAACACTTTTATAGACAACTCATCCACCGTTTACATTTCAAACAACGCCAACAGCCAATAAAAATACCTTACAGACACCCCTCGAGATAGGTCACTTCTTTATCGAGTAGGCTAACAGATGGCGCACTGATGCACTTGTCATCCTTCTTTTAATAAAAAAAGCCTCTATAACCTCCCGCTCTGTTTTTTCTTTCGCTTTTTTCAAGAACGTTGTTGACTCCAAAATCGGCTAGCAACCTCAACGCTTGCAATGCTCCGACAGATGACCCTCCAAGTTGTTGCGTACAGATAGCTTGTGCTCTCTTGCCCTGTCATTGAAACAGCGTCCTGTTTGTCCTATACGCACTTTCCCGCAACTAAGCGGTAGTTCATAGATGACGTTAGTGACGCAGTCAGTATATTGGCTTGCATGCTTCTTGGAGCACAGAACTTTCTTTTTTCTGGTCATCATCGGACACATCTTAGCCAGTTTGCAGGGCGCAGAAAAAACAATGTTAACATTGTATCTGTCGGCAATCTTTTTTATGTTGTGTGAAACTTTGTGCAAGTATGGGATGACATGCACTCATTTTTTTGTCTTTTTTTGTGATACTGCCATTCTGTCGGTTCCTTTGTTTGATTTTTTTAAGCAGGCTTTCACACACACTAGAAATCCGCCATGAAGGGGACCCTGCATTGCGTAGCCTTTTAATCTGTATATCAAAGCTAGTCGACATTTGGTGATTACAACTTTTTGCAAATCCTGCCTGGAGGGAGGTTATAGCGATTCCCCTCTTAATGAGCTTAGGCTGAGCTCTGTCAAACGACACTAGGCTTTTCTTTGACCGCGGTTTATACATCCAACAAAAATGGTCTCCAGAAAAATTTATCATAAGATCTAAGAATTGGATGCGCTTGTCATCTGGCATCTCCCAAGTGAACTTCAGACCTCCTGATGCCTCTGTGAAAGCTCTAACAACTTTCACAACAACTTCATCCAAATTAGTATCAGTATTTAAAATTACAAGGAAATCGTCAACATACTAAAACGCTTTTACTATATGTAATTGCTCAAGACCTTCAGAGATCCGCTTGTCCAACGATTCTGCGGCCAAAGAAAAGCCTAGTGTCGTTTGACGGAGCTCAGTCTAAGCTCATTAAGAGGGGAATCGCTATAACCTGCCTCCAGGCAACATTTGCAAAAGTTGTAATCACCAAATGTCGACTAGCTTTGATATACAGATTAAAAGGCTACGCAATGCAGGGTCCCCTTCAGGGCTGATTTCTAGTGTGTTTGAAAGCCTGCTTAAAAAAAATCAAACAAAGGAACCGACAGAATGGCAGTATCACAAAAAAAGACAAAAAAATGAGTGCATGTCATCCCATACTTGCACAAAGTTTCACACAACATAAAAAAGATTGCCGACAGATACAATGTTAACATGGTTTTTTGTGCGCCCTGCTAACTGGTTAAGATGTGTCCGATGATGAGTAGAAAAAAGAAAGTTCTGTGCGCCAAGAAGCATGCAAGCCAATATACTGACTGCGTCACTAACGTCATCTATGAACTACCACTTAGTTGCGGGAAAGTGTATATAGGACAAACAGGACGCTGCTTCAATGACAGGGCAAGAGAGTGCAAGCTATCTGTACGCAACAACTTGGAGGGTCATCTGTCGGAGCATTGCAAGCGTTGTGGCTGCGAGCTGATTTTGGAGTCAACAACGTTCTTGAAAAAAGCGAAAGAAAAAACAGAGCGGGAGGTTATAGAGGCTTTTTTTTATTAAAAGAAGAATGACAAGTGCATCAGTGCGCCATCTGTTAGCCTACTCGATAAAGAAGTGACCTATCTCGAGGGGTGTCTGTAAGGTATTTTTATTGGCTCTTGGCGTTGTTTGAAATGTAAACGGTGGATGAGTTGTTCATAAAAGCGTTGAACGGTCTTGCAATAAATCAGTTGAGAGTAGCGCCTTGTCCCTGTCGTTTGTGTTATTTTCTATTTGTCCCTGTCTGTTTGCCCTTTTAAACCTTACACCTACCACGGACCAACTAGCCCAAACCAAAGTTTTAACGTTGCATAGAGCATGCGAAGTACAACGCCAAAAGCTGCTTGGTTGACCCAAAGAGCCGGGTCCCCCTTCTCTAAAAACACTCTTAGTTAAGCGGTATTCACACGAGGAAGAAATCCCCGTGATTTCTCCTCGGCGTGCGAATCACGCGAAGAGAACTTCAGGCTTTTGCGATGAGACACTGTTACGTCAGCTATGCGACAGACGGAGGGAAGGAAGGAAGCTTCGGCGGCACAAACAGTCCTGGCTGGGCGGCGGATCAGCCTGTTCTCAATATTATTTTGCCGTTAAACTCTTTGGTGTCAAATGTAGAGCTCTCTAAATAAATTGTCCCGCGGTAGTGTCAAGTGTGGAAACCGCTCAGCTGGACTGCAAAAGCCGACATTCCTCCACCCTGACAGCTCGTCGGAGTGAACGATGCAGCTGAACGCCGACGTTGAACGACAAGGCGAAGATTTGGAGGACCTAAAACGTTGGAAGCGGGGGGGGGGGGGGGGGGGGGGGGGGGGGGACTGATCTAAAAAAATGACATTAGAAAGTTTCTGGATAGGGGGATTTGACGCTTCGGAGCGCCCCGCGAGGAGCATGGGAGACCCTGAGCCCTGAATGCAGAGAGATTAGTCAATGGGTGACGCGGGCAGAGCCTGGGCGTGCACCAGGCGCAGTAAGAGGGCTTCGCATGTTCTTTTGGCCAACGAGAAGCCGAAAAGAACTTCCTAGCCGTGTTAGCAAGAAACAGTTTTAATCTTTTTAATAAGCGCTTAAGAGTTAAACACAGTAACCCTCCATCGTTGAAAATAGAGTGCACGTGATGTGCCGATCATGATCATGCAGAACGATGTAAGAAACGAATGTGCCAGTCGAACACTGTGTTGCTCGGACAGGGCGTGACCGCTCGGACAGAAGATTCCCGGCCCTTGGCGCCTGGCGCTCGGAATATGCCGATCGTTCCGCTCGTCGCGCTCTTCCACCGTGATTTTGGATGACCATGATAGAAACATCACGTGCACCACATTTTCAATCACCTAGTGTTACTCCGACGCACTTGTAAGGTTTGTTTCTCGCGAATACCGCCAGGGTATTATTTCCGGCTCCTGGATGGCCATATTCGACTTGGTGAAGACGCCCTGGAACACGCCCAGCCCACTTTCGGCCAATTGTGCATCCTCATTTGTCGTCTACACTTCACAATGAATGGCCAAAATCTGTACATATACGGCTCCGGAGAGATCCAAAAAGTTGGGGCGGGCTGTCCTAAAACTTTTTTATGTTAATCGTCAGCATTCGCAAAAAGAAACAAGGTCGTTACTTCGTTAGTAAAAGGTAACACGTTCCGCACAAATCTGGCAGCGACAACGTAATTTTCAGCCCACCTCTGCAGAAGTAGAAGCTCTTGCAGCCGGCCCCGTAGTCGGCGTACACGCCGTCCGACTGTCCCCCGCACTCCCCGACCAGGGAAGGACCCAGGCTCCGATGGGGGTCCAAGCAGCGGACCTTGGCAGCGGCGTCGCAGTGGCCGCTCTCGGGGTCGAAAGCCTGACCCGGACCGCACCAGAACGCGTGCGCTCGACCGCCCTGGCACGCCCTGCAAAGGCATAGATGGCTCTTACGTTCCGTTCTCATTACAGTAGGGTAACCACACGTACTCGTTTGACAGCAACAGCCCCGTTCTAGAGGTGCGTGTTTTCTTTGCCGTCCCTTCACTTTGTTTTATTGAAACCTCAGCTCCCGTTTTGGTGGGATTAATACATAGTTGTGAAGAATACCGAAATAATTTCCCTTCTTACGTTATACTCTATAAAAAAAATAGGACATACTATAGAAGTTTTACGTCCCACAGACATAAATTTCGAGCTTCTTCTGTCGGTACATCTGCCAATACATTTTTTCCCAAGTAGACGTGTGCACGGAAGGAATGCTTCAATTTGTAGCATTCTTTCCCCAGTGTTTAAAAATGGAAAAGAAGGGAGGTACTTATCTTTGGAATAAGAAATCAGGAAAGTTTTTTTTTTGTTTGTGTTTATGTCGAACTGAATAGTAGCAGAGTGTACTTTCTGCTTTCCTTGCCCTTCATTCATTCCCCCATTGAGACGTCCATTTTGGACCGGGACAACCCCGCTCTAGATTTTCTTTTTTTCTTTTCTGCCGTTCAATCACATTGTATCAATAACCAATCGTGTGCCGTTTTCGTGTGAACAATGCATAGTTTCGAAGAAGACCGAAATAATTCTCACTCGTTGCTTAAGTAATTCCATAAAAATAAGCATACAATAAAATGTTTGCCTCCCATTGTGAGCATTTTTGAGATTTTGTAACTACATCCGCCAATATTTTTTTGTTTTCTTCACATGGACGTGTGTGTTGTATGGGTGACACAATAAGCGGGCAACAGCTAGCGCGCGCTCGTGCGTCTCGCGCCACTGTTCCGGGGCGCCATTCCTATCTGAGCCAGCGCACCGTTTGCACCACCCGCTGCTATCCTGCCGCTCCCTCACGCCCGTGACTATGTGTCGTACTCCGGTAGTCCTGCAATAAAGATGTGCCAGCGAAGAACCCCATCGGCCTGTTACTCCAGATACCACACAGTGGCGACGAGGACACGGATTTCGCTGCTACAACGGGATGCAGAGACCGTCGGACGACTCAGCAACTGAGGGCCTTTCAACTGATGTTCCAGTATCTGGCATCTTGAATCAAGGACCAGAGGACCGGAAGGCAGTCACGATGGCCTTATTCGGGCAAGTCGAACCTTTTGATGACACGAAGTGTGATTGGTTATCCTACGAGGAAAGGTTGCGAGCCTTTTTGAGAGCAAACGGGGTAGCGGACGCAAACCGAGTTGACGTGGTCATAAGCCTCATAGGAGCTGACACGTATAAGTTGCTCAAGACTCTAGTAGCGCCTAAGGACCCGGCATTGAAGAGTTTTGAAGATGTGCTGGCCGTTTTGCGAAACCACTTGTCGCCGAGGCCGTCGGTCATCGCAGAAAGGGCAACGTTCCATAAGAGAGAACAACAGGAAGGGGAATCGGTCGGAAAATATGTCGCCGAGCTCAAAAGAATGACACAGACGTGCAATTTTGGAAGTAACCTGGAAGAAACCCTCAGAGACAGATTCGTCAGCGGTCTGAGTCGTGTTGACATTCAGAGAGTTTTGTTTGCCGAAGATGAGAGCCTGACATTCAAGAAAGCTGTGGAAAAAGCGTTAACTATTGAAAGAGCCACCATGAATGTGCAGGCGTGTCATAATAAGGCGGACAACGACCAACTCGAACTGCAGAAACTGACGGCGGTGAAACCGAAAGCGGTAGTGGGGGCTCAGGACAAATGTTTCCGTTGTGGGTCCCCTAAGCACATTGCCTCGTCATGCCCGCACCGTAACGCTATTTGTTATCGCTGCAACCGTGAGGGTCACTTCCAACGTTTCTGTAAAGCATCACTGGCCAATACACCAGGCAGAGCAAATCAGTTCAGAAACTTCTCCGCTGAGGAAGAAAAGAGTGAAGCGATATACGGGCTTCAAGACAGAAACATGAATGCGCCGTTCTACTACACGCTCAAGGTCGGGAACGCTCCTCTTCAGATGGAACTAGACACCGGTGCTGCCGTGTCTATCATTTCGAAACGCCAGTTCCAATCGTTGTTTCCTCGCACAGAGCTGTCTCCGGCGTCACTAATACTGCGCACGTACACCGGCGAGCGTGTCAAGCCAAAAGGAGTGGCGACGGTGGACGTAGAGTACCGAGACTTCAAAGGAAAACTTCCGCTTCACGTACTGGGAGAAGATGGGCCACCTTTGATTGGCAGAGACTGGGTCTACAAGCTCAAGTTTGACTTGGGATCGCTAAACGCGGTCAGCGTTGATGTAAAAGCGTCTCTCCAAGACATCCTAATACGCTACCAGGATGTGTTCAAGGACGAGCTCGGATGCATGCGAGGGGAAGAGGCTCGGCTAAGCTTAAGGGAAGGTGCGAGTCCAAAGTTTCTGAAAGCTAGAAGTATGCCGTTCGCCCTGAAGCCAGCTGTAGAAGAAGTGCTAAAGAGACTGGAGGTGACAGGTGTCATTGAAGCGGTGGCCCATAGTGACTACGCTACACCAGTTGTCCCGGTTTTGAAGAAGGATGGGTCTGTACGCCTTTGCGGGGACTACAAAACAACGGTAAACCCTTGCCTGGACGTGGAGCAGTACCCGTTGCCAAGGTTGGAAGATATTCTAGCAACGGTAGCTGGGGCGACTGTTTTCTCGAAAATAGACTTAAGTCGTGCATACCAGCAAGTTCCGGTCCACCCTGAGTCACAACCCTATCTGACAATCAACACGCACAAGGGTTTCTTCCGCGTCAAGCGTTTGGCGTTTGGGATCGCTTCAGCTCCAGCACTGTTTCAAAAGATAATGGACAGCTTGCTGGCGGGAATTCAAGGAGTAACCTGCTATCTCGACGATATCCTGGTAACAGGGAAGACCGCCGGGGATCACCTGAAGAATTTGGAGCAAGTCCTAAAGAAACTGAGTGACAAGGGCGTCCGAGTCAAGAGAGAAAAGTGTGAGTTCTTGAAGGCAAGTTTGAAGTTCCTGGGGCACCAAGTCGGCGAGCAAGGGGTAGCTGTGTTGGCAGAAAATGTGCAAGCGATCCTCGATGCACCTCAACCGCAAGACTCAAAACAGTTACGGTCGTTTTTGGGAATGGTGACATTCTACGGAAAGTTCCTCCCAGACCTCTCGACCACAATAGCACCGCTGAACGAGCTACTAAGAAAAGATGTCGTCTGGACCTGGAGCAAGCGCTGTCAAGACGCTTTTAACATGGTGAAGAGGCTTCTGGTTGACGCACCTGTCCTGGCACACTACGACCCCAAGCCAGACCTTCAGGTGTCATGTGATGCCTCGGCATACGGTCTCGGAGCCGTCCTGTCCAGGGTGTACTCCAACGGCGACACACGGCCAATCGCGTTTGCGTCGAGAACCTTGACATCGAGTGAAAAGAACTACAGCCAACTAGAAAAGGAGGCACTGGCTATTGTGTTTGGCGTGAAGAAATTTCACATCTACTTGTTTGGACGATCCTTCGTGTTGGTCACTGATCACGAACCGTTGCAAACCATTCTTGGTCCAAAGACGGGAATTCCGAGCATTGCTGCCGCACGTCTGCAGAGATGGGCTATTACCCTTTCCGCCTATCAGTACCGATTGGTTTACCGACCGGGTCGACTCAACGTGGAGGCGGACTGCTTGTCACGACTTCCAGTTCCTGGGTTTCAGGATGAAGACTACGAGAATGACGTCGCGGCGTTTCTCAGTCTCCGCCTGCAGTCTTTTCCGGTAAGCAGCCAAGAGATCGCACAATTTACAGCAAAAGATAAAGAGCTCTGTCAAGTGGCAAGATTCCTTGCCGGTGCGTGGCCCGCAAAAGTAGAAGATTGTCTGAAGCGTTACTCTGCAAGAAGAAGCGAGCTGACGTGGCACCAGAATTGCCTTTTGTGGGGAATGAGGGTTGTGATCCCGAAGGGACTGCGCGAACGCGTACTGGACGAGCTGCATGAAGGGCATCCTGGAATCGTAAGGATGAAAGAACTGGCACGCAGCTATGTATGGTGGCCGGAGGTCGATGCGGATATTGAATATCGCGTCAGGTCGTGTGATACCTGCCAACAGCAGCAGAGTCTTCCAGGTCCAGCCCCGCTGCATCCGTGGTCCTGGCCAACTCGTCCGTGGCAAAGGCTGCACTTGGATTTTGCGGGACCTTTCCAGGGCCGTCATTTTCTGGTGATCGTCGACTCCCACTCCAAGTGGTCCGAGGTTTTTGTGATGAACAGCACATCGGCCGAAGCAACTATTGAAAAGCTGAGGGAGCTGTTTAGTCATTTCGGTCTGCCAGATGTTGTTGTCAGTGACAATGGCCCCCAATTTTGTTCCCAAGAATTTCAGATTTTCTTGCGAGAGAACGGTGTGAGGCACGTCAGGACCGCCCCCTACCATCCATCAAGTAATGGGCTGGCTGAGCGTTTCATCCGCACCCTGAAGGAGGCCTTACGAAAAGAGATGCCGGGCCGGCCTCTGTCCCGTCGACTAGCAAGTTTCTTGTTAGCTTACAGAAACACACCGCACGCCACAACCCTTCAGAGTCCTGCGGAGTTGCTGCTTGGGCGGCGGCTCACTACCCGTCTCGACAGACTGCGACCCTCTGCAGAGGAAACTGTTCACCGCAAGCAGGACGTGCTACAGGTGAAGCACAGTGGCAAACACCGACACTTCGTGCCGGGTGATAAGGTGTACGTCAAGAACTTCCGGCCGGGTGAGAGGTGGTTGCACGGAGTCGTCATGGCTAGATCCGGACCGGTCTCCTACAGGCTTCGCGTGACCACACCGCGGGGGACCTTCGTGTGGCGGCGACACCAAGACCACCTGCGGTTGCGGGAGAGCTCTACCCCAGAGGAGGAGGAAGGTGGTTTGCTGATACCGAGTGTCCTGCCATCATCGCCAACCCCAGGGCAAGGGGGACTCGTGAACGAGCTGCCTCCAGTTGGGTCACCGGTGGCAGAGGGACAAGACATGGGATCAACTCCAGTCTCCGGTCGTTCCCCAGCCCAGCCGCAAGAAATTCAGCGCCGGTATCCCGAACGGCAACGGCGTGCGCCTAATAGGTTTTCGCCTTGAGAAGGAAGAGAAAAAGACGAGGACTTTGTGTTTTTCAGAACTGTAATTATTTTGTATTTAGTATGTCTGTACTTTGTACTTTCCAGAACTTCAATTATTCTCGTGTTTTGTTAAATTGTCATATCGTGTTACTTTGTGAGTATTGCACTGGAACGCCGTCGAATGGTATTACTGTGCTGAACTAAGTGTGGGGGAGTGTTGTATGGGTGACACAATAAGCGGGCAACAGCTAGCGCGCGCTCGTGCGTCTCGCGCCACTGTTCCGGGGCGCCATTCCTATCTGAGCCAGCGCACCGTTTGCACCACCCGCTGCTATCCTGCCGCTCTCTCACGCCCGTGACTATGTGTCGTACTCCGGTAGTCCTGCAATAAAGATGTGCCAGCGAAGAACCCCATCGGCCTGTTACTCCAGATACCCCAGTGTGCACGGAAGGAATGCTTTAATTGGATACATTGTTTCCCATGTGTAAAAATGGGGAAGAAAAACAATTGTCTTCAAAACAACAACCGCCAAAAAATATTTTTTTTATCGAGCAGGATAGGAGCATAATGAACTTTCTACTTCGTGTCGCTTTTATTCATTCCCTCCTCCCTCCTCCTCCCCCCCCCCCCCCCATCCAAATATATCAACCTCCACTTTGAGGAATACCGTCACCCTGAGTCAAAGGCAACTTATTCAGAAAACCACTCCCGAAAATAACATCACACCCAGCCTTGTGCTCGTTACTTGAAGAATGTAATGGATTAATATTACAAATTATCGAGCTTCAAATTTAATGGATCACCGTTACAAATTACTTTCGCTAAAAGTAATGGATTACTTCACTCGTTACGTTACAAATTACTTTCACGTTACTTTTTCCGTGCACTTATCCAGAAAACAATAGAAATAATTTTGATATTTTTCAAAAATGTTCTGCAAAACTACTTTTCATTTGCTCATGCGCTCGTATTGTGGTTGTCGTTAAAAATAAAATTTTGTATTTAACAGGAAGAGTCTAGGTCCACGCCGTTCAGTTCTAAGCTGACAAGGCACTGAAAGCTGCAACCACACCCGCCATCTCTCTAGCTTACGGCCCCCGGAAATGGACCCTGGAAGTGTGCAGACAAAGCTAGCGGTGAACATGCCCTCTAGCAGCGTCTAACTCCACTAAGAGATTCGGAGCTAAAGAAGCGATCTACGAAAGCTCCCTTTTGAATCGGGGGTTTCGCCTGTTATTCAAAAGAAAAGGAAAACTTGGTTCTAACGTTACGATCTATGGCCAAGGCAGAATGCAGCTGTCCAAGCTTACCTTGATGTGTTTCCGTCGAATAAAGTATGTTGTTCTTGCTTATGACTATGTGTTTTTTTCGCAAGGAAAGTATGTACTGAAACTAGATTCCTATTTTCCTTAAAGCCATAAATTTTGAAAATCTCATTCAGAGGTGACCGTGGAGACGACGGACACTTTATGACCGAAAACTCGACCAGTCAGAGGAAAAGTGGTGGTTGCGGGTCATCAATTGTTCATCGGTTCTCACTGTCATGTCAATATTCGTGGAGGTCAGGGGAGAGGAGGGCATAAAGAGCTAAAGAAGCGGTTGCCATCGGTTTAAAAAAAAAAAAAGTATCACCACTTTTAGGCGCGCTCTCTCTCTGTCAGCGCACCTAAGATTGCCTACCACCACCCCCTCCTTTACGTTGACAGTCGACTGTAAAGCGATGAGTGGACTCGACCACCATGCCCAGACAAGTAAACCAAATGAAGTATCGTCCGTACTCTCAAAGACGATGCTCTTAGCCTCGAGCCAGGCGCTTTTCAGCTATGCCTCAAGAGCGTGCTAGAACACATTAGCGCACAACAAATACAAACAGAAGTCGGCCCCTTCGTGCGAGGCCACATCGTCTGTTACGCGAGTTGTGAACCCGCAAATCGAGGCGGTACAGACACGCATTTGACGTCTGTGCAGATGGCGGAAGACGTCGAAGAAGTAGGAAAGGGTGAAACGGAGAAAAAGACAAAAACAAATAAACACGAATGATTTCTCCTGCCCGGGAAAAGAAGAAAAACACGATGGAAGGCGACGGTGAGCCTACTGGGTGTTGTTCTACTTGACCTTTGTCTTTCGTATATTTGTGCATTCCTTGCCCGTTTTTCTAGTGGTTCCAGTGGCCGGTCATAAAAAAATCGTGTTTTCTTTTCGTCTATTCTTTCCTTCCTGATGCTTTCTATTTTGTTGAACTTGCTCTTTTTATGCTGGTGAATGTTCTGCCCCTGTTGCTCCAATTACTATATTATGCTTATAGTTTTAAAAAGTTACAAGTAATTGAAGTAATCCGTTACCAACATTTTGCAACTAAATCACATTACAAATTACTGCGGCAAAAAAGTGACGTGACGATTACAAAATTACTTCAAAAAGTAACGGATTACTTCCCAAGTCGGCTCACACCCAGATGGGCTTTGATGGTGGATTTGCCGCGGTAAATGCAGCAATAAACAGGCAGGAGGACCTTCTCAGAGTGTATAGTAACGGATAGCTTAAGAAACTCTGATCGATTCTCGTAATCCTCGCGCCTCTCGCTTCGTGATTCTTCGTTTAGAATTCCTATTTTCTAATGACGTCGTCTCATTGGCTGCAGAGCGATAATAAGATATGCTCAGCCGAACCCTTCGTTTCGTACCCCGTCATGGACTATATATATCGTAGCCATAGTCACCGACAATTTCGAAGACGCATGGCTCATACTATCTATTCACGCTTTTTGCTTCGTGATGTGGTCCTCTTTGTTCTTATCGGCCAGTGCAGAAGTCTCATTGGCTGTGGAACGAAAATCAATTGCTCGGGACTCGCCACGTCCCACGTTTCTTTAAGTTGCAGGTAGCTGCATAGCACATCGTAATTAATATTTTTCGTATGCCTCCATCCCACTGGCGGTTGAATAGCATTTCTGAGGTGGTTGCGAATGCGGCTGTTGAAAGGAAAACTCAAAAAGTCATTGAAAAAATTTAAAGAAAACGAGTTAGGGGCGAATTTTAGAGTATTTTTATCCCGTGCATTTGAACATCGCGTTCGTATTTTTTCCCGAAGATGTAACTCAACGCGGAGAAAACACAAAAACACCTCCGACCAGTCGTTACGTCACACCCCGATCTTTCGGCCGCCAAGTCCGTGACGCTCGAGAGTACAGTGCGTGTGATTTCAAGCCTGCAAAGTAAGTTGCCTCGCACAGTCGTGACGTCTTTTCCTGACCTTTCCTTTTCTTGTGTAGCCAGAGTGCGCGTGCAAAGCTTGAATAGGCGCTGTGGGTGCACTAGAACGGAGATTCCGAAAACTCTGGACATGACGTCACAATCCGGGAACTTTGAAAAGGATTTTATGCAGCCTCCGCGTACCAAATGGAAAAATAATCTCGATATTCGTGATAGAAGAGGCCAAATGAAGAAGATTAAAGTGTTTGTCCTGAAATGCTGAACCGCTTCAGGTTCCCTTTAAAAACTCAATATAAATTCACGCGCACCTGAATATGAAAATTAGAGAATCCGCTTTACGGTTGCCATTAGAGCGGCAGTGTGAATGCAGAATTGCTAAACTCCTTGCGTATCTGCCGTGGTAACCTCCCAGTGCAGAGCACCACTTGGCCCGGTCCGCCCGTCCTCGCTGCCATGCTGCGGAGAAAACCTTATGGGATTCCCTTTCCTTGACAGAAGGCCGTTTCCCTTCGCTATACACTGACCATGCGGAGGATCAGCTCGTTTTTTATCACGCTCGTTCCGTGGCCTCGGAAGGTCTCACCTGAAAAGCCTGCAGCCCCTCTCGAGATCAGGGTAGACGCCGTCTGGCCGTCCCTCGCAGAAGCGCAGGTCTCGGCTCAGCGATTCCAGCTCGTTCCCTGGTGGATCTAGATGCTGGTCCTAAACAAAACAACAACGCAAAGAAAAAAAAATTAACAAGGAAATATGCAAGTGGTTTTAAAGTCACGGCAACGAAGTAATTGCTATGCGGAGAGCAAGCCGAGCTGCTTCTTGCACAGAAGTTGCGGTGACGTCAGAACAACACCGAGCTTTGATTGGCTTCGACTGAAGGATAGTGGGTAGACCTCATGGCAGCTTGCTTTGAGGTCTACCCACTATCCTGCAATCGGAACCAGTTAGAGCTCGGCGTTCTGATGTCACCACAACCCCCGAAAAGAAGCAGACGAACTTGCGCAATAGACCGATCTCACCAAGCGTTCCACGCATGCGTGACGCCGCCATAACTGTAGTTCGTAGGAGGCAGACGCCAGTTCACTCGACAGCTCATGCTGCTTCGTGGTCTGCTCGCGCAGACCTCCAGCAGGGTTGTCGCGCGTGTAGAAGGACTACAGCTCCCACGATGCATATCGGCAGCGGTGGCGTACTCAAACTAGCTGGTGAGATCGCTCTATTGCCATTGACGTTGCACGGAGGGCAGGGAGTTTCTTTCGAATATCTAGGTTTAAGCGCGTGCCCGTTGTACTCCGCCGTGCAAGTGTAGGTTCAATACTCAAAAAACGTTGACGTAGTATCGAAGGTATGGTATAGACTTTTCCCGCGCTTACAAAATCGCAGTCCAGCGTACGATCTCCACAGTCGACACTGTTATAAATAGGGGGTGTATAGGGGTACACCCCTTGGCTCATATGGAGCACCCCAAAACTAGATTTTGACGTTCAGTCCACTGACGTCGAGCTGGCGATGCCAACTTTTACGAGCGGCTTGATAGCTGTTGGATATAACGTACTAAATAGCTAATATGCGCATGAAAGGCTAGAAAAGAAAAAAAATATCAGGGAGGTTGTGCATCAGCGTTAAAAAAAACATTGATTGTCGTATACTCTAGTCTTTAATGCGTACATTAGCTATTTTAATAAGTTGTATCGATCGACTATCAAGCCGCTCTTGAAAGTTGGTGTCGTCGGTTCAACGTCTGTGGACTGAACGTCGAATTGTTGTTTCGGGGTGCTAAGCATGGGACAAGGGGTACGCCCCTATACACCGCCTATTTCGGAGAGCGACCACGTGCATGTTCGTCGCTTACGAAAGCAAGGAAATCACGCGGCCTACGCATGAACACTCAATATGGCACTGGCCACAAGCTCCTTTCGTGAAAAGGTCTGTATCTGAAGTGGGAATCTCGCGCCGTAGGTGGGACGAGTGAAAGTCGACCTCGGCGTTCTTAACTTGTCAGTAACTATGCGCCCAGAACCTCAGAGAGAGAGGAGGAGATGAGGAGACGAGAGGAGACGTCAGAACGCCAACCTCGGGTTGGAATGATCAAGCGCCGTTCACACTCTTGCGACCGAGTAAGACCATGAGACACTGCAGACCGGTTTTTAAGCTTTTCGCGACTTCTTAGGACCAGATGCGCTGCAGCGGAGCTGGTCCTAAGAGACCGCAAGAGGTTTAAAAGCCGGGCTGGTTTCTCTCGGTCTTAGTCGCAAGAGCGTGAACGGGCCTTTAGAAAGTAGACCTAAAGCTATAGCTGCCTTTGTCTCCTCTGCGGCCTATGAACGCTTTAGACCGCTGAACGCCGGCGTCGGACGCTTCGCTTTCGCATTCCAACGCGTTCGACGAGTCTATTTTAAACAAAAGCAGCTAGCTTTATGTCGATTTACTAATCATTCCAACCAGAGGTCGGCGCTCTTAAAATACCCTCGCGCTCTCGTATCCTCCTCTCCTTCAGTTTATCGGCGCATATCGAAGGTCGTTGCAAGCGCTTAGAACCACCTTGAGTATAAATTGAAGAAATAATTCTTAAGTTTTCTGAAAACTATAAAAATATAAAAAAAATTACTTTTTTATTGCATCAACCATACTTGAGTAAAACATTAGCTTCAAAAGAAAATGTATTAAAAAACAGACTATATAACAAAAAAAAAACAAAAAACATCGCCAATCTTGAAATAATGAGCTAGAACTTTCATAATTCGAACTATACGTAATGTTAAGTACATAATACCTGAAACTACGCATACTTGTGTATAAAGAGCTAATATCAGAAGTGTTCAAATTAGTCGCTGAAAATATTTAAAAAATTGTATTAAAATTGAAAACGCCAAGATTGAAGATTGGCGATTAGGCTGAAGCTAAACCATCATTTAAATTTCTATACGCTTGGTCGTAATTGAGTAGCCGCGAACGCCGCCTTAACCTAAATTGTTCGTTTTTTTTTTAATTATTGCATTTTATTTTGGACTGCCTTGGAAATAATTTTTTTTTTCAAAATTTGTTTTGCGGATTTGTTTCCGCAGAGGGAGCAGATATAAAGGCACAATGCCTGACTAAGCCTCCGTTCCCCATCGTAAAGTTCAACATAGGAGCAACAAAAGTTTCAACCAAACCAACACCGCTGTAACGAAATAAAGCACACTATGAACAGAGAACATAAAGGATGGTGTCAGGAATAAGCACCGAATGAAGCGTATACAAAACAGGTCAAAACAAATATTTGGCCAGAAAAACATCTGCGCACTGTAGAGGCGTATAATGCACGAAAATGACAGCAGAACTATACACTGCAATAATTTCTAATGCATGACCCCATCCAGGCATGTTTGCTCCTAGGCTTACTACGGCAGATAATACCACAACACAAAAACCGAATGGGTGTTGCGAGGTTATCCAAGTTATCAAACGCTGCGCCAGTTTACGGTCAGCCTGTTGCAACCCTCTTAATATGACTGGGTTCGTATAACCTCAAATTTCCGTTCATCTTCCGTACAATGTAAGAAAAACAAATAAAGCACCGAATCTACCGCAATGGTTCGGATGGTGACGAAATCACGACGTACCCCTTCGGAATCAAGGCACCTCGCAAACCCAGCCAGCAGCACCAGCAACAAACCTGAAAAAAAAGAAAGAAACTAGTTTGTTACACTACATATTAACAATTGCTACAAATTACAGGGTGCACTCCTTCTACAGATTGCTAGTACAAATTACTAGTTTTTTACTACTTATAGATCACTACTGCAAATTACTACGAAACACCGGGAGTGTAAGGCTTCCTGACGCGTCGCACTGAAGAAAAATGATTTCGTAATACTAGCACGCTTTGTCAGGTGTATAACGACCTTCGTTAGAATAATCCCTGTTATAATCCGTTTAAAGCCCGTCCGTTCTTAATGGATTAAGCAACCCGCGAAACGGATTGACGGGAATTACTTAACCGAAGCGATTACGGTGATTACCCCAACTGCGGCCATCAAAAGTGCGGGTTGTTTCTCGCTAATACCTGACTATTAAGTTATTCATCGTCCCACAGACCACAACCACGAAACGTTCGGTGCAAGGATTATTATTTGCGGAAGAAACAATTAGGGGCGTTGGAATGGCGGTAATGAATTATTCACTTGGAGCGATTCTATACCGCAATGCGTTCGCCCCGAACCGGCATGGCTGCTCGTTTCCATATATTTGTTTCTTATTTAGTTTATAACCGTATATTATGTGGCAATTTCTATTTGCTTCATCTCTTTTTGTTGCCGCTTTCTCTGTTGCGTGGAACTGTGAACCTTGAACCCGATTATTAGCCTACCTTTCCCGTTTCTGCACTAGGCGGAACAGAATGTACAGGGTGTCACAAAAGAAAATTTACAGGGTTTTTATTTCCGCAAAAATAAACTAGGCATCGCAGAACGCTCATTCTCCGCCCAAAGGTAGTGCTAGAGGTCACAACTAGATGCCAAAGTTTCAGCCCGATCCGATAACTTAATCAAAAGCTATAAGTGATTTTCTGAAAATTTCAATATCAAAATGGCGGCCGAGGGAGTTTTCGAATACATGCGGCTCTATGGGCACCAGAAACCGGAGACAGGCAAAAATGAGCCCCCTTTTCCTATTGAAATTTTCAGAAAATCACTCATAACTTTTGATTAAGTTATCCGATCCGGCTGAAACATTGGCGTCTGGTTGTGACCTCTAGCGCTAACTTTGGGCGGAGAATGAGCGTTCGGGGATGCGTAGTTTATTTTTGCGGAAATAAAAACCCTCTAAATTTTTTTTTTGTGACACCCTGTAGTTTTCTTAGTTATAACAACAGCTTTGGCGTATTTTGAAGACAAGCCACGCAGCCCGAATTCTTACGCAGAAAACTAAGGTAAATAAATCTTCCGTTAATTCATAAATATGAGTGCAATTCATCTGCTATTCTTCACTTTAACCCGACCGAGACGTCCGCCGTCGATAACGTCAATCTCCAAAACAATCATATATTTAATTCCTTTGCCCCTTTTGGAGCTATTCTCAGTCGTTAAAACGCGTGCCACCCGCTCATGCTTGTGAGACCTTGACGATCATTGTTTGAGCGCCACGATTCAGAGCGGTATGAGTTGGATCACCAAATGTAAAGAAAGTGGATTGAGTGCCAAAAACTGCCAACCATGTTTTTCGGCCCAGGGAAATAAACTATGCATCGCAGAAATCTAAACCTCGGTGAGATTGTGACGCTAGCGGTTTGGATAGAACGGGAAAGTTTGAGAATATTATGTTGTCTGGATCGAAAGATAATTGAGTAAAACTAAATTTCTCTAGGAGCCGACGTTCGCCAAGCCGAGTATCGTCAATACGTGGCTTGTACATGCCGTCATTAGGGAGTTGTAGTAGATAGTAGGGAGTTTTCGCAGACCGCGTTGCCCCCTCCGCTAAGCGTTCCGCAACGAAGAAGTTGCTACTGCGCCTGCGCGCCGATAGCCTTGACTGTGGAGTTCCCGCTATCGTAGCGGATTGCGGAGGGCCTTGCGGGACGGCGAAAACGATCTACGAAAACTCCCTATTTTCTCTCCTCCGCTACGGTATCCCCGAAGAAAACGGTGCATCTGCGCAAGCGCGCTGCCAGCCTTGTCTGCATAGTTCAAGGTCTTGTGGCGGATTACGGAGCGCTATCAGGGTGCTTAGCAGGCTGCGGAAACGGTCTACTACAATTCCCTAATGAACGAGCCCTCTGACGACCTCCAGAGAAAAGGGGAAAGAGCTCCCCTCTTTACAGCATCCTCCTTTGTGCCTCCTGGACATGCACAGACGTCGCTATTCTCCTCCCAGAATATTATAGAAGATTAACCTGTCTCTCAAAATTCTCAGAAAAGCAGCTTCCCTCTCCTCCTTTTACATGGTGCTCAAAAGTATTCGATGTGACGTCAGTGCAAGGAGCCTATTCGCGCCTCCAGCTCGTTGCACGCCCTCCCGCGGCGGAAACGGGTAGCGCTCTAGTGAGATTCGCCCGGTTCTCCTGCTCAGCGGGCGTGGCGGAACTGCTTGCAATCATGGCTCGCGAACTGTCATTTCTGAATGCAAGCAACACTCTTCACTGTCCCATCGTGGCGCTGCAGCCCGTATGAGATTGTACCTTATTCGAGAATTTTAGTATTGAGTATAGTAGAAGCAAGCGCTGTGCGTTTGCGTTAGGGTGGCGTGCTCCACGTTGCGCGTGCGCATCGTTGCCATGCTCCAATTCAAGACCACAATTTTGGGCTCTGTGCAAGCGCAGCGTGGAACACGCAACGCTAGCGCAAACACACAGCGCTTAAAGCGGGAAACACATGTACGACGAAACCGTCCGATCCGACATCCGACCGCGCAATACGACGGTCGGAGGCGAGGGTTTTCAACGCTCTCCGATGCTACGAAAACCCTCGCCTCCGACCGTCGTATTGCGCGGTCGGACGTCGGATCGGACGGTTTCGTCGTACATGTGTTTCGCGCTTAAGTTCGCTCGTATACACCTTTCCAAAAAACGCTCCTAGGCCGCCGCCATGTTGCTGATGCTGATGCGGCTGGTGCGACTCTCGCGCCCTCTATCAGCTAGAAGTTTTCTGCCACTCTCTGGGACTGTGAAGACCCGCTCAGGGCGGTTCTCTACATGCATTTTAGCCGTTTTGCATTCGACGTTTTCTCGCTCTCTTGAAAGTTTCCACTTCATTTTTTTATGCGTGCTGCCTACCCTTCTTGTGTTATCTTCCATTGTGAGAAATAAGGCTGGTAAGTGCCTGTCATTCAAGCTTTTCTGCTCGACATTCACGGGAAACGAAGCAGGTGAAGGACGTCGAACGACCCTCGACGCGATTTTGCGAACATTGTTCTCGCCCCTCCCAGAGATAATCCGCGTAGAATCCTCAGTCATCTCCAAAAATAGTTGCCCCGGTTGGGGTGACAAACGGGTCAGTCGCGTCTGTTTCTTTGCCTTGGTGCGGTTGTGAAAAAAAGGAAGCTCTCCCCAAAACGTGCCCCAAAACGAAGTCATCTCGGATTCCGTCCGATCGTCAAGATGCGACTGTCGTTGACTGTAACTGTGTTATTCGAGATCTTTCTCAAATAAATTCTTTTTGAATAACGCTGCATCGTGTGGTATGTACGATATATTGTTCTAATGTTATTACTTCCTCAATCGTATGTCCGTGTCCTGTCCATCGGTAAACACGTTAGTTGTGAGCGTGAAAAATGCATGAATTTCGGCCGTCTTCTGTTGCAATTTATTTTTTACAGCAAAGCGCTTTGTCGCTTCACATGCGGCGAATCCCGCGGCGTCGTCAAAACTGATCGTAAGAAAAAAACAAATAACTAGAACTATACATTCCAGTCGCACTCGTTCTGTCGCGCGCGTACCCAACAAAAACAGTTTACAGGTTTTTTTTGTTTTTTTTTTTAGTGTGACACAATGCTTTCTCAATGCCCTCGGGAAAATACATGTACAATGAAACACAAATATAGCGGGAAAAAAACGAGAATTTAGCCGCCAGCAGCGTCTGAAACTGCGCCTACGCAGGCTGCGCCTATTGAAATCACAGTCCACTCGGTTAGGGTCTGATTGACGCCGGTGAGAGTCTAGCCTCAAACTCAGTGACTGGGCTCGAAAACGGATTGTGGTCCCTGGGGTCGAGTGTTTTTTGGAAAGGTGTATATGCAATACTAAAACTCGCTAATGTTTCACCGGCTTCCAACACCAACGAAATGTGCTGAAGTGAGCAGACGCGCAGGCAGGCAGGGGTTCCCTCAAACTGTAAAGGCTGAGATTGGCAAAACGACGGCGAGCAAATAGGAAAGTAATTAAATGTTAAAAAAAGAGCAGTAATTAAAAAGAATAATCCGTTTTTGCTTTTGTGTTTTTCGGAGTGTGTGTGTGCGTGTGTGTGGGAGGGGGGGGGGGATTAGGTCTGGAAGGATATTGGCGGAGACTTTGGAAGTTTTGCCGATTGTCAAATGTCGGCATTTTGATAGCACTTTCAATTATTTTAATTTTACATGAATTTCTTACATTAGCTAGAATGTTGTCATTTATTTTACACTTTATTTGTATCATACCTTGGTAATCGAAAATGCTGCAATTGGCACCAGTGATGATAATTACCACACTTTAGATTGTCATACTTGTTCGCGCGTTTGAAATTAGATCATGAGCAAGTAATTATTTTAGAGCTTGAAAAATTGCGTATTAAAATATCTTAATTTTAGTATTTATATAATATTAATACGAACCACGGCAATGCATGCCCGCAAATAACGCCACAATCACCAAAATACGCAATTTAGCCATAAGCCTTTCCTGAAAGGTATCATTTTGTTTTCGTTTTAGGGCATCAAAACATGTGAGATCGTTATCAACATAGACAAGCAGTCAAACACTGGATGCAATATAAACTCTTATGCGTCACACGTTGCTTTAAGAACACGCACATTTCAGCTGCGTGACTGGGATTCCGTCTTTGATTTTTTCTTTTGAGAACAGCATTTCTTAATTCATAGGTTTTGTGAACATATTGTATAAATTCTATTTATTCTGTTATTCTTGTGCTTTAAAAAATGTTAAAGTAATTAATCATCTAAATACCCTTGAAGCCATTGAAAGGCCCG